CCTCACCGGCCGCGACATCCTCGCTCGTGCGAAGAACGGTACCGGCAAGACTGCAGCTTTCGTCATCCCCGCCCTCGAAAAGATCAACCCCAAGGTCTCCAAGATCCAAGCCCTCATTCTCGTCCCCACTCGTGAACTCGCCATGCAAACATCACAAGTCTGCAAAACCCTCGGCAAGCACCTCGGAATCAACGTCATGGTCACCACTGGAGGCACTGGCCTCCGCGACGATATCATCCGTCTCCAGGATCCAGTCCATATTGTGGTCGGTACTCCCGGAAGAATCCTCGATCTCGCCGGCAAGAACGTTGCCGACCTCAGCGAATGCCCCATGTTCATCATGGACGAAGCCGACAAGCTTCTCTCCATCGAATTCACCCCCGTCATTGAACAGCTCCTCCAGTTCCACCCCAAGGATCGCCAGGTTATGCTCTTCTCCGCTACATTCCCTCTGTCCGTCAAGGACTTCTCCGACAAGAACATGGTCAGCCCCTACGAAATCAACCTGATGGACGAACTCACCCTCCGCGGTATCACCCAATACTACGCCTTCGTCGAAGAGAAGCAGAAGGTGCACTGCCTCAACACCCTCTTTTCCAAGCTGCAAATCAACCAATCCATCATCTTCTGCAACTCGACCAACCGTGTCGAGCTGCTCGCCAAGAAGATTACCGAGCTGGGCTACTCATGCTTCTACAGTCACGCCAAGATGGCCCAGCAAGCGAGAAATCGTGTCTTCCACGACTTCCGTAACGGTGTTTGCCGAAACCTTGTCTGTTCCGATCTCCTCACTCGTGGTATCGATATCCAGGCCGTCAACGTTGTCATCAACTTCGACTTCCCCAAGAACGCCGAGACCTACCTTCACCGCATCGGTCGCTCCGGTCGCTATGGCCACTTGGGTCTGGCCATCAACCTGATCAACTGGGATGACAGGTTCAACCTCTATAACATTGAGAAGGATCTCGGCACCGAGATCCAGCCCATTCCCGCTAGCATCGACAAGTCTCTCTACGTCTACGAGAACCCCGAGTCCATCCCCAGACCCATCTCCAACTTCAAGACCGGCCAGCCCGGTCCCCAGGGCCAGCTTCCGGCTCCTCAACAGCTCCTTCAGGGTCAGCAGCCCGCCCCTGGCAACTGGCAGACCCAGAACCCCCAACAACAGAACGGCTACCAGGGCGGCGGCAGAGGCCGCGGACGCGGTCGTGGCGGTTACCGTGGCCAAGGCCGCGGCGGCTACGGTGGTCGGGGACGTGGAGGCGGCCACCACGCCCAGCAGCCCCAAGGACAGGCGTCCTAGGCAGGCGTGCTATCTTCTCCACTATAGAAAGGCGTTATGGAGTATACGTCGCACGGAACACGCGACGGCGTCTACTGTTGGATTGTACATATTTTCTTTTCCCTGGTTTTGAAGGCGGCAAGGCACGACTAGACTGGGTCGGGCGTCTCACACACGAGCTTCCACATTCTCTCACACTACTCAACGATTACGAAAACGAAAACACCAATCAACCCCCGCCACTCGTCGCCAAGCAGCAAAAGCTTCGTTACATATTCGCAAACTTTGGCCTGCACCATACCCCTCGGATCTTACTGGTCTTTTGTTTGACTTCTTTTTCCTTTCCTTTGGCCTTCTGACGGCAGCATTTTCAACATGAGCTGGAATTGCGTGGTGTCTGGAGACAACAGAACGAGACGACGGGTAACACATGGGACGAAAAACAACAACTACCGCAGGGCGTGGCGTCTGGTCCTGAACGAGGCTCTTTGATGGTGTGGAACATTCCGATCCCATCTTTTCATGTCATGTTGGTTCTTCTTTTAACGACGGCGTTTTGGGGGGTCAACAAGCGGCTGAACGGCATCAGCCCCGGGATGGCGTTCGCATGGAAGACGGCCATATTTGATTTTGCTGGGGAAAAAAGTGGAGTTGGTCCTCGTGGCACGAGGGCGGGAAGACGGGGCGGTCCGGTAGCTCATCGACTGGTTTGAGCGCCGCGGTGTGTTTTGAGTATTAATCAATCAATCGCGGAGACAACTTGAATGTTGGGATACGAAACGGAGGGCGGTCGGGGTGACTTGGCATCCAAACGGCGTCTGTCGGAGCATGGTTTCCCATCTCATCCATGCATTTTCTTTGGCAGGGGGAGACTTTGGCTGGAAGACACCTCGTCCGGGATAGGAGGAGCGCCGTTGTCGTTGGTCGACAACCAAGATGTCTTTCTTGGTAGCGGTGGCGGTTGCCATCCGTTACGTATTCTACGCCTATACCCTGCTTCTTTCGCGAGAACGGGCTCGACGCACGACCGCAGAAATACCCGAGTATCATTATGATGTTTGGCTCCTTCGATCTGGCGACCAACTGAAGTCTCGGGGACGCCTGCAAAGGCAGATCTTGGGACGAATAGCTGGTATTGCCAAGGTTTTCGGAGGGGAGAACATATCTTGGTGCTCACAACGACAAGAAAATATTGGAAAAAAAGGTTGGGAGAGAATCGCTAGACGGACTGGAAGGCTTTTGGACTGGTTCAGCTTCGTGCTGGGACTAGTGGGCTAGATAGTTGTCTGAGCATTCGGAATGGCAACGTCATTATTCTCTCTCATACACATTACTGCCGTGACTCAATTCGTGAAATGATGCTACTTGTGTTAATCTATGGCACGGAAGCTGGTGACGCAGAAAATCGCGTTGGTTTTCTCAGTTGCGGTCTACACTTTGAAAGTCTTGGTGAGTCGAAGGCGTTGCAAGGTGCTGTTACATCCTCGTGTGGTCTAATATCCTGTTTGGCACTGGAGCAGGCAGTTGGACTTGTGCTTGCTGAAACGAGGTTCGGCGCATGAAAAATGCCCTCTCCTGGAAAGCCGGCCGCGTTGGTGTCAATGTAACGGCTCGTTTGCAAGCAGTGGCCAATCTCAAAGCAGAGATTGTATAACCCTGTGCCGTTCAAACATAGCTTGCACGACGCGGTATCGGCTTCTTCCGATCTTCCATTCAGCCTCTTACTACAATTGAATATAGATTTCAGGTTGTCCCAACCAAGGCAGTTCGAGCTAGACCGACGAGGAATGATTCACCCTCCAGCTTTTGCCCTCTTGGGTTTGGACACATACTCTCACCCTTGAACGATGACGGCTGAGCGACCTCGCCGCGGATGAAGGACTTGAAAACTTGTCAATGTCATCATCTCGTTCTCGTCTCATGATTCCACAAATTATTAGATTGCCCTTCAAACTTCATCCCGCGAACAACACCTCCTGCAACCGCCGGAAGACCTCGTCCTCACCGGGATAATCCGGGCCCTTGATCGACTCAAACGCAGGCAGCAACACGCTCTCGTCAATCTCCTTGTACTTGCCCAGCTGGACGTGGATAACCTGCCCATTGCGGGACGCGTCCGCCATCAGCAGCGCCGCGCCGCGCGCGACCGCCTCCGCGGGCTGCAGCTCGACGCCGATCTTCTTCATCAGCCCCTTCAGGTCCGGGAGCACGCTGCTGTCCGTCCACGTGGGCGCCAGCGTGTTGGCTCTGATGGGTAGGCTGGCGGCGCCGAGCAGGGAGAAGAGGCCGCGCCCGAAGCCGAGCACGGCGTGTTTGGCGGTGGCTTCAGCATATGGTCAGTCTGGGAGTTGTAGGAGTTTTAGAGACGGGAGGGGCTTACAGTAGTCCACGGCGCGGAGTCGTTGCAAACCCGTCGTGGAGCCGTTGATGACGATGCTCCCGCCCTCAGCCTGCTGCCGCATGTGGAATATAGCGATCGTGGCCGTGTGCATCACGCCCTTCAAGCTCACATCCAACAGCGCATGCGACGGCTCCTTCAGATCGCCATTCTCGTCGACCTCGGTGGAGAGGTAGTTGGCATTGGGCCCCATGCCGGCGTTGGCGAAGACATGGTCCACGCGCCCGTAGACCTCCTTGGTCTTCTTAAACAGCGCGATTTGGTCCGCCCAGAGCGTCACGTCCGTCTTGACGAACGTGTAAGACGCCACCTCATGCTGCTGGGGCGGGGGCTGGATGTCGGCGTTGACGACGGAGGCGCCGTGGGCGAGGAGGGTCGTGACGGTGGCGAGGCCGATGCCCGACGAGCCGCCGGTGACGATGACCACCTTTCCCTTGACGCCGGCGAGGTCTTCATCCGCGATCAGGAATTCGGCCATGGTTGTGAGGTTGCGATGCGGCACATAGCGTGTGTAACACGAGCGGTCTTGGCGAGCATGTCGGACTCTTTATTTAAACAGCTCCTGCGGTGAAAATGTCCGAGAATGCAGCAGTTGATCTGCCTTGTGCCACGTAATCTCCCCTCCGTTGAAGAAATGATTGCAGAATGCTCCGGGGGTCTAGTGTGCTTTTTCTAAGAGTCCACTTTGCGCTCCGTGGGAACATGGGATGTTCGCCCAATGGATTGGCGGGGACATGGCGATTGCGGCACTCGCACGATGCGAGGAAGCCAATGGAGAGGTGGCGACCCTTGCCTAGCGGATGGGCTACAGACTGCGGTATCAGGGGTTTTTCAGGAAGGGACGAGGGCCACAACTTGACGTGGCATCCTGCAATGGCACTCACATCGGCCTCGTGCGCTTCATGTGGAGTAGTGAACCGAAGTCCCATCGCTTAAGAAATATGGAATAATTGCGGGCTCAGAGTTGCTGGCTTTCTCAAAGTTGGAACGAAGACTCAACGACGTCCTCGCCAAGTATTCAGACAGCGTGCGCTGTTCGCCATCTTCAGCACTTTTTCCTCATTTGAGGCAACGTATGCTTTCGGACCCGACAGACATGGCAGTTTGATTAGGTCTTATGACAAGGTGGTTGAGTCCTGAGCCAAAATCTCTTTACCCAACCAATCTTCAAAACTTATGATTAACGAAGCAGTTATTTTGAAGAAGAATCAGGATACGAACCAAATTTTACACTCAACCCTGCGAGAGTTTCATTCTGAAGAAGATATCCAGTCAGTGGAGGTGATTCACAATTCTAATAAGATGAAGTTGCCCACCCTATCAGCCTTCTAATCCTAAGCTATGCCCGTGTCTTGACCCTGAGAAAGGTGCTTCACGGAGTTGAGAAGCGATGTGACCTGAGAGTGTCAGCTAGAGTCCATCATTTGGTCAAGAAACAAACGCCATGACTCACTGGCAACGTCCCATCGTCTAGCAATCTTGTCCGAGAGACTCTGTATCACTTCTCGCAACAAATCCCCGGTATCTCGACCATGGTGTTTTCCCAGTAGGATGGCGGCGAGTCCAACCCTATGGAACAGAATAACAGCTGTGAGGGGCATCCTGTTGAGCTCGAGGATATCCACAGTCTTCTCCATGCGAAGCAGGTCTTGAGCAATGTTTTTGGCTGATTCGAGAGCTGCTATTGATGACTCTTTGGCGAAGGAAGGGATCTCTTCCCCGCCGGCACAAGTCAGTCTTTTTTCGTGAAGTTCTATAAGCGCCCTGTCTGTCGATTAGCTGCCACGTCTGGATGGAGCGAGAAAGGTCTACTTCCAAGAGATATATGGTCACCACGGTATACTGGTGCTCTAGCCTCTTCCAGGATAGTGTTAATGTTTCTCGGATCTTTCTCTGTACCAGCATATCGAGCTTCCAGGACTCATGGTCCAGGAGGTTTTCTAGCTGAACCAACGGGTTTCTTGTGAGCTTCATGACACACTGCAATGCTTGCAAGGCTTGTATCTCGCTTGCGAAAAGTCCGTATCTCTGGCGTTCATCCACTGGGAACGACAGCAGTGGCAGAGATGAGTCGCTGAAATCATGGTGAGTACTCCATACCTCGTCCTCTCGCGGAAGGGCTCGACCGATGTGAGAGTTGTGGACAAGGAATGCTCGTTCAGACTTCCAATTGGCGTAAAAGTCTAGTCTGTCGAGGAAACAGACAGCCCACCATACCCGTAGTCTCTCTTCGTCAGCTGCCGTTGCGGAGCATGGGGATTGATGGAGATTGGTGATGTAGCCGAGACTAGCACAAATTGCTAATGTGGCGTATGCGTCAGGCATGAGGCCACGCCCTTGCTCGTATATGGCGAGCAGTAAGCCTGACTGAACGGTCTTTAGGTGACGCCTTGAGTTTGTCTGCAGTAGTAAGAATGATGACTTGCAGTCGTCATATAGCGACGGCAAGAGCGTTTCGTGATGTCCCCCAGAAGCCGACGGAAAGGACGGAGTGATGAGCAGAATGTGTAAGAGAAGACAAGCGAGCTCGGCAGATGGTTTGCTCCGCAATGATGATACTTTCTCCTTCAAACTAATTGGGTGAATGATGGGGATCCATTCGTGTATTGACCTCAAGTAACCATCAAGGACACCCTCTATTTGAAGGTTGAGTATTCTTAGCGTGGCGAAAAGATGAGATGTCAGCCAACCGTCAGGATCCTGGTGCTTCGCAACATTCGGTCCCAGATAAGAAGCGAGACCAATTCGGTTTTTCTTGGGATTCAAGTCATTTGGCGGAGGTTGCTGGGCTGTGGATGAAGAGCCATAGTGACACGTGATGTTGCGACTGGTTGGTATCAGAACTGATCTGCGTGCTATAACACACCTTGCTACTTACCCTATACATCGGCTGCAAGACGGCAGTGTCCGATCGCAACTCTTTTTTCTCATCGAGCACATATGACAGGCATTTGAAGCCAAGGCACTTGCTGACATACTGTTTGTATTTTGAGATCAAGTTGTCATGACCGTCACCTCACGCAAACGAGTCTGATTCCTTAAGGGGTCCATGGAGTTGACGGTTGAGTTGCTGACAAAATGTTCGGGGTGCGCGGCATGCTGAGCTAGTCCGCCGCTAGTCCGCTGCTGACCCGCCTTTGACAGAGCCAAGACTACTCCAACAGTCGGGGTAGTGTCGGACAAGTGATGTGCCCGTGCTGATCTCACAGCAACGCTGCTCTCCATCTGAATCGCTGCAATAGGACACCCGAGACTACTCGACGGTCCTGAGATGGGCGGTAGTCGTAACTGCAAACCCTCCCAGCAATTCAAGCTGATGGGCTTTGCTGAAAGCCCTGAAACCATAAATAGCCCAGCGATGTCCGCCTTCATTACGAACTTATTGAAAGAGACCAAAGAACTGTGACAACCCGTTCAACAAAGCAGCAAACTTTTGAAACGCATTTCACCTCTCGTTATCATAATGGCAGTTCTAGGACAGATCCGCGCGCCATCCCTTTTCATCAGCCATGGAGCGGGACCCCTTCCGCTCATCCACCCGGACTTTGAGGGATACCGGCAACTAGTTGCCAAGTTAGGAAGCAGGCTTGATGGCGTTAAAGGCATCATCCTCCTCTCAGCACACTGGGAATGCAACGAACCTGAAATCACTGCCCTTGAGGATCCTGGGCTCTATTTCGACTACGGGACTGTTGCCGCAGGCCAAAAGCACGTTGCGCCCGAGGCCTACGAGACCAACTATCCTGTTCTCGGAAACGCAGCATTGGCGGTGGAGATCAACCAACGCCTTCTTGATTGCGGTTTCAAGCCAGTCCTCAATCATAAGCGTGGCCTTGACCATGGCGTCTTTGTCCCGCTAAAGATCATGCGACCCGAGGCAGACATACCGGTTGTCCAGGTGTCTGTTCTCACGGGAAAGGACGAGGAAGAGGCCACAGACAAGAACCTGCGTCTGGGCCGCGCCTTGGATTATTTCAGAGACTGTGGGTACGCGATCATGGGGAGCGGCGGGTCGTATCACGACTTTGATACTACGATGGCCGTGCTCGAAGGCTCTAGCGAACTTCCCCCCGGGGCCGAGGAGTTTGAGGACTACCTCAAATCAGTGGCAGCAATTCCCGATGCAAAGGCTCGTGAGAAGGCCCTTCAGGGCTGGCGAGATATCCCGTCGAGCTATGTTTCTCACCTGCAAGCCGAGGCGGAACACTTTTGGCCGTTTCTCGTTGCTGCCGGTGGTGGTGGAGACGTTGCTGGGCGGCGAATCCTCAAGTTTGTCTCTCACGGCGTGCCTGTGAGCTTCTTCGAGTGGTGAGAACTGGCGTGAATTGGGCAACGGTGGCTGGCTGGGAGAGCAGGGTTGAGTTTGGGACGACGCGGTTGTGTTGTGCTATCACTGCTCATTGCGTTGAGGATGTCACTGTAGCTAGGCCCAGCAGGAAGACTTTGTGTGCTCAATGGAAGTCAGCCGTGGCATCAGCCATGCGAGTTTCTTCTGTGTTAGGTCCAGTCGTATTGTGTGCTAGAGTCATGCAGTGATAAGCTGCGGAATTTCGCAGCCAATCAGATCCTTCGGGTCTCCCACGGAAGGGTGGCCGAGTTGGTTATGGCGCCAGGTTAAGGTCAGCTTAACATCTGTTTCCTGGTGGGGCAACCCGCGCGAGTTCGAGTCTCGTCCCTTTCATTTTTCGTTTTTGTGAGAATCTATTTCGTGCACAAGCCGGAGGAGCAAGTTCTTTCTGAAGAATGGTTAACAATCGCAGGCATACAAGTTGAGTTCATAGCGTGCGGTGAGCGTTCTTTATTATTTCAAGCCTTATCCACAAGGAGGGGTATATTTTATTCGCTGGCAGTGTCGACAGGTCTAGCCCATCATCTTAGATGCCTTCTCAAGTGCTTTGACCAGACTGATGCACATCGTCGTCGTTTGGTCTCAAATAGTGTATCTGAACCGCGGACTCTCATCCCCAAGCTCCGCAAGCTCGTCATCAGACAGATCACGATACTTATCCTCCGCAAGACCGGCCTCCCGCTGCTTGTTAGCCCTCCAGTACCAGAACCACATGAAGCCGTACAAGCACGTCCCCATTCCGACCATGCTCAACGTCACCGCGTGGCCCCTGATGTACCTGGGCTTATCGATTGCTTGGCTATCAGTTTGTTAGTTGCTACTTGCCTCTCACTTAGACGGCCGAGGTACCCACTAGATGAAAGACGACATCACCCCAGAGCAGTTTCCAATCGTCAGCTGCATCCCGCTCGCAGTCGTCCTCTTGCCGTATCTCGGCGAGTTATTCGGCAGCTGCAAACCTCTCATTAGTCCAGTAGCACACGCACTCTGTAAGAGGGAAAGGCTCACCCAAGCAAGCGGCAGCCCGACAACGACGTACAACCCGGCCGCCACCAGGAAGCACCCAAAGTAATGCACCCCAGACGAGGTGTCCGAGATGAGAATCGCGTACCCGATCACGCTGACGCTCCCGAAGACGACGCAGAACAGCCCGCGGAGCTGCTTGCGGTCCGACAGGAAGGCCGCGGTCATGTACACCACCACGCCGAGGGCGTAGCACGGCACCGTGAGGAGCTGCACCTGCGCGACGGTCCAGGTGCCGAGGCCGTTGATGATCGTTGGGAGGAAGGTAGAAAAGCCTGTTCCGCAGTCAGCCACGAACCGCGCAATGTCGGAGGTAGACACTCACCGTAGAGCATGGTATCCACGCCAAACTGCGCCACGCAAAACACCCAGACCTTCCAGTCCTTGAAGGCCTTCCACATGTCCTCGCGGCTGAACTCCTGCGCGCTGCTCGTGTTGCCGTACTCCCGCCCCCGCCGCTCCACCATCAGCCTCTTCTCCTCGTCGCTCAGGAAGCTCGCACTCGCAGCATCATTCGGCAGCAAAAAGAACGTCACGACACCAAGCACAACCGTCGGCAAGCCCTCGATAATCATAATCCATCGCCACCCGCTCAGCCCAGCCACGCCCTCCATGTGCCCGATACCGTACGCCAGCAGCCCGCCCAGCCCGCCCGCGATTGCGGCGCTGACGAAAAGATACCCCACGCGCAGCGCGAGCTCGTGCTTGCTGTAGAAGAAGGTGAGGTAGACGTTCAGCCCGGGGAAGAGGCCGGCCTCGACGGCGCCGAGGAGCAGGCGGCACGCGATGAGGGCGCCGTAGGAGTCGACCAGCCCCGTGAGGGTGGCGATGATGCCCCAGGCGACGGTGATGAAGGCGATCCAGCGGGAGGGGGTGAAGAGCTTGAGGACGAGGTTGGAGGGGACCTCGAAGATGATGTAGGTCACGAAGAGGATGGAGACGGCGACCTGGAACTGGTTTCCTTGGAGGTTGAGGTCGGACTCGAGGTTGTAGAGGCGTGCGTTGCCGATATTGACGCTGTTGGGGTCAGAGAGTGGTGGATGCGGGCAAGGGATGGCGCACTTACCGGTCTAGGAAACTCAAGAGGTAGAGGAGCATCACGAGGGGAATGATGCGCGCGTCTAATTTTCTGACCAGCGCCTTCTCCCGCAACGCCAGGTCGTCGTCGACGGGCTCTAGGTCCCGGGCGTCGATCTCGGGCGAGCTTGCGCCGGGCCCGGCGTCGGCGTGCTTCTTCGCGGCGTCCATGCCGGCGGTGTTTCTGTGGAGGTGAGAGAGAGCCGAATGACTCTTAGTTGCAGACCAGAAATAACCCTGCATCAATTGCGCAAAAGTTTCGTTGTCAGAGTTTGGCGGTTGCAAGAGTCTGTCTGCGTGGAAGGGTTGACGTTGACTCGACGCTCCCTTGGATTCCGGCGGGTTGATCGTCACTCAATCCCGATGCGTCAATGAGAACTCGCGCTGGGCAGGATGATGCGGCCGGCGGGGGTGGTGCCGTTGAAGATGGCGGGGTGTCGTGCAGATATGACACGCGGGCGCGGTGCATGGGACGATTGAGATTTTCCCTTTCTGCAGTGTCCGTCGACTGTAGACCCCTCCAGTTCCTATGTCGGCGGGGTTGGGTTGACTAGACAGAGACTATGGCACGATGTTTGTAATTACCCGCCTAAGACAGTGGCTGGGAAAAACAACTCAACTCGTGAAAGACGCTTGCATGAGTCAGGGTTGAAGGCTTCAGAGAAGGCGAGACTGTTGTAACAAAGCGGATTGGAATTCTGGATGGAAGAAGACGATAACTATCAAATGGTTCCTCGGTCTACTCCCCCCTCGCCTTTGCCCCGCGGTATCTTTCGTCAGAAACCAAGACATTGCAGATAAGATCCTGACATTGCTGCCCTCCGGGGTCTGGAACCCATTCGGAGCTGCAGCTAAGAGAAGACAGAAACAACCGCAACAGGGGTGCTTGTGCTTGGTTGGTTCGAGCTTACGCAGTGTTTTTTTTTTTTTTTTTTTTTTTTTTTTTTCTTGCCCGCCGCCCACTCAGCGCTACAATTGCGCTCCCACTCGCCCGTGCCGTAGGAGATACCCAACCTGGTGCCGCCGCTCCCTGGAGGAGGGGTTCTTTGGCGAAGTGTTTCCGTCGTTGTTTGAACCCTCGGGGGAAGGGGAAGAGTGGGTGTGTTGCGTCCAGGGTGGACGTTCATGACCATCAAAAGGCTTGGCTTACATGAAGCATTGCAGTCGGCAGAAATACCGCCGATGGCTCGGGTCCAGACTGACAAATGGCACACCTTCAACAACAAGATGGTTCCGCGTGCTGACGAAACATGGACGGTCTTCTGGAACTTTCAGATCCGATGGGCGATAGCATCGGGAAGAATGGCAGTGACGTCCGCGTCTCGCAATCCCTCTTTGGCGGGACAGAAGGAGTTCCCGGTAGTAAGACCCGTTGGCAACCCGCCTGTCGGGCTATCGGAGCTGTCGACCAGACGTCTTGGCGGCTCATGTGAAGCTCTTCATATCACAGCAGGGTCGCATCGGCACGCAACCACAAGATATC